TTAAGCTAAGGTTAGACCAAACACTTACCTCGAACTTCCACGGCCAACTCAAGCTTCAAACACTGCTTTTTCTTTTGAATTCGGCTCCAAATCAATTGTATCTAGACATAATCGACTTAATAACATCAATAAACGCTAAAAAATCCAATTCCAATGCTTAATTATAGCTTTCCCATCATTCTTTCCAAAAAGTCAAAAATTGACCCGGGCCCACTTGGTCAAAACACGAGGTTCAGAGTAAAACCCGATCACCCTTTCACCTACGAGCCCGAATATATAATTAGTTCCAAAATTTGACCCCAAAATAAGGTTAAATCACAATTATACAAAAAGCCCTAACTCTACCCAAATCCCTAATTTTCTACTCTTAAGAATATTATTTAAGCCAAAAATCTAATGGGTGTTAATGGAAATTGAAGAAAATGAGTCTAAGGTTACATTCCTATGAATTGGTGGTGAAATCCCCTTTCAAAAATCGCTCAATTTGGAGTTTGGAAGAAGAAGTTATGAAAGTTTGGCTAAATCCCGTTTTGGTTTTGTTTTAAAATCACTGGACAGGCCTTCATCGCGTTCGCGACAGGCCTCTCATGTTCGCGATAGGTCAAGCCAAATAAATCATCGCGTTCATGATGCAAGGCTCACGTTCGCGAAGCTTCATCCCCTAGAGCCTTCGCGTTCGCGTTCGTGTAGATGCGTTCGCGTAGGGTAAAATGCCCCTCCCCCTGCCTAGGCCCATAAGCCTTCGCGTTCGCGTTACCAGGCCCGCGTTCGCGAAGGGAAACCCCCCAAAGCTTCGCGTTGGCGACCTGGGTCTCGCATTCGCGTAGAAGGAAATCTCTTTCAGCCTGACTAACTCATTGCGTTCGCAAGGGTCCTCCCGCGAACGCGAAGAAGGACATACCAGAACATCAGAAACTGAGCAACCTGCAACTTTTAATGAGTTCAAAACCTTCCGAAACCAATACGAAACTCACCCGAGCCTTCGGGGCTCCAACCCAAACAGGTACACTAACTCAAAAACATCATATGAGCTTATCCGTGCGATCAAATCACCAAAATAACCCCTCAAACAACGAATTAAACCTCAAAATCAATGACATATTTCAAAACTTCTTAAAACATCAAATTTTGCATTTAAGGTCCGAATCACGTCAAATGACATCTGTTTCTTACCAAATTTCACAGACTTATCTTACTTCACATATAAGACTTGTACCGGGCTCTAAAACCAGAATACGGGCCCGATACCATCAAATTCTGAAAGCATTTCATTTCCAAAACTCATAGAAATTTTCAGAAAATAATTTTCTTTAAAAATTCATTTATCGGACTTGGGACCTCGGAATTCGATTCCGGGCATACGCCCAAGTCCCATATTTTTTCACGGACCCTCCGGGACCATCAAATCAAGAGTCCGGGTCTGCTTACCCAAAATGTTGACCTAAGTCAACTTAAATGCATTTTAAGTCAAAATTTCAACATTTTTACAGATTTTCACATAATAGCTTTCCGGCTACGCGCCCGGACTGCGCACACAAATCGAGGTGATGCTAAAAGAGGGTTTTAAAGCCTCGGAACGCAGAATTTATTTAAAAAAATAAGTGATGACCTTTTGGGTCATCAAGTTCAATTGTCAAATCCTAATAGGCGACCAACTATGTGTTCATGTCAAATATAATTGACCATTGAATGGCCTAAGAAACTCTTTTCTTCTTTCATTCAATTGTCCTGGCCAAGGTCTTAATTTGGTCGTTTATAATTCATGACAACATGGAGCTTAAATTCATTACCAAGAGTTGACAGATTCTATCTTGATCAATCACTAATTCTACAAGTATTTAATCGTACCCTATATCCTTTCAACTATCGTCTTAGGGCTATATGTGCCTGGTATCAAAGCACAATAAATAACTTGTCAATTACTAAGACGATCTCAGGTCAAAGGAAATTCTTACATCACATTCTTCAAGATAATATCCTATTGACAGTTTATGGTAATTCTAACCATTAGGAATTATCCAATGAGTCGGTTCAATGATCATATCTCTATATGCATCATCTATCTATGTGATTCAGTTAATGAGATCAACTAATCTTTATCCAATAAAGACGATCACATAAATATTGATCTAACTGGATTACTAATGTCCAAACTAATAATCCTATGATCAATAAAAAATTTAGATTAAATTATAAGAAACTTCACTCTCATTATCATGATCTCCATCACAATGTCAAGTCTCAAAATTTAATCAAGGACCTTATCAAGTTAATCAAACAATTAAAAATAACTATGATAAAAGAATATCAAATGCTATATATTTTTATATCAAATTACATTCACAAAAATATGTTCAAATCATCAAATATGATATTGGATCTTTGGCATATCTACTATATCCCTACCATAATGAACCGCTCAATTAATTTTGACCCTTCGGGGACAGTTAACTTGGAGTAGTACTAGGACATAGTAGGATAAACGAGATTCTTTCAGATTTCTTGCTGGAGTTCTTTAAATTAGAATTTTCGAATTCGTACATGAGAATAGAGAATTGATCTCCGATTAAAAATACTCCTTCATTAATGGATCATAAGCGACTAGAACCGAATTAATCTAGATTCCAAAAGGCTGCTGATGCACTAAGCTCTCATTATGCGCAGAATCTGAAAAAGGGTCGGACCATAAGGGTTTATTATATACAATCTTACCTTATATTTTTGTAAGGAGATATTTTCACGGCTCGAAACCCGTAACCTCATGGTCACATGACAGCAAATTATGCCAAGGCTCCCCAATCTAGTTTTCAGATATCTGATAATTATAAAAATCAAAATAAAAATGTTGGAGTACTGTTGGAGAATAGGGTTAAAAAGAATGAATATTTCGTCCTAGTTATTGAATCATCCTTCACATTAAAAAATTGTTTCTGAGAATAAACTTTCTTGAAAAGTACGAAGTTCAATTTTGGGGTAGCATGATTGGAATCTGGTCTTTTTGACAGTATGACTAATTGCAAGTTGCCTTCTGAACCAAAACCAACTTGTGGAGCCAATTTAGGGTCGGACGTAGTTTAGGAATATCGGGTTCAATTGAATCTAGACTTTCGACGATAACTATAAATTTATGCATAAAGTTTATTATAATCGTAAGAATAGTTAATATAAATTTATAACTTTAAAGTATAATAGATTTAATAATAAAAGTTTTAAATATTAAATTCATAAAGCTTAAATTTTGAATTGGAGCCGAATTTGGTCATTGGGTTAACTCACGCGGACCACCGCCAGCTTAATTGTCAACTCTCACTCTTCATAGAATCCTCAGAATCTCTATCTCAAGAGATTCACCTTTTTCCTCACTCCCCCATCATTGCTCACGTAATAGATATTATTGGCTCTAATAATTATGCTAAATCGCTGAATGCAATAGATTGTTAGCTTAATTATAATTAAATAATGTGTATGCTTTACTTCAATTTATATTCACTCTGTTTCATTTTATGTGACGGGGATATATTAAAGAGGTGAAACTACTTTTTTTAATAAGGGTTGTGCGAACGCAAGTCTCTGCTGTCACAAATTATAACGTAAGCTCAATGACTTGGATCGATCTTAGGCGAGCACCTCTCTAAAGTACAATAGAGGTCACCAACCTAGGCCATGAGCCTTGTTGATTGCCCATTGACCCCGTCAAGGTAAGTAGTAAAACTACTTATTCTCTCTATCCATGTAGTTATTATTTGGAAAGTCAAAGAGAATTTTTCTTTGAACGTGATTTTTTCATATGTGTTGTGAATATTTTAAAATGTTAATTCTTCTGACTTATATTTTTTTTATGTAATTGCAAAAACGTAATATATTTTAAAAAACTTAGAATTATAATTTTGTAAATTAAACAATTTGACCCTCGCATTCCGTATCTCTATCACATAAAGTGCACATAAAGTGAGACAAAAAGAGTAATTTTAATTTGAACTTGATATACCGTTTACGAGTTTTTCGAAATAATTTTATACATTTAAAAACTATATACTTAAAAAAATATTATAAGTCATAGTAGTGAATAAATTAAATATTTAAAAAAGTGTAATAAAAGAAAAACTTCTTTAACTCACCAATAATAATAGTGTCGTAAACTGAAACGATGAAAACAAAACCATCCACATCTCTATCAAGAAAGCGTTCAATTCAATATTTCATATAAAAACATTATAGTAATGCCATATGATAGTCATATTCAGAGCCAACCCC